TCCAGAAAAGGGCAACAAAGCTGGTGAGGAGTTTGGAGCACAAGTCTTATTAGGAGTGGCTTGTTGACTTTGGAGAAAGGAGGGCTCAGGAGTGACCTTATTGCTCTCTACCACTACCTGAAATGAGGTTGTAGCGAGATGGGGGTCGGTCTCTTTTGCCAAGTAACCAGTGCTAGGACAAGAGGGAATGGCCTCAAGTTGTACCAGGGAAGGTTTAGACTGGATACTGAAAGGGTTGTCAAGCACTGGAGCTGGCTGCTCAGGAAAGTGGCTGAATCACCATCCTTGGAAGTTATTTAAAAGTCAGATGTGGCATGTGGGGGACATGGTTTAGTGGCAAACTTGGCAGTGCTGGGTTAAAGGTTGGACTTGATGACCTTAAGGGTCTTTTCCAATCAAAAAAATTCTATTATACTGTATTTCTGACTGTTTATTTTTCCTTCTACACTAGTCCCAAAGACAAATTAGAGCAATCAGAAGAGTAGGCACAACTAAAGGAGCTAATATTTCTGTAGTACAATTTGTGTGTCTCTGCTCTCCTATTGCTAAACGGCATAGGAATAACCTTTACACATGCTGGTGTTCCCCATATAACAAAGTGATTTCCATGCATTGCTGTGAGAGACTGCAAATTTTGTTTTTGCAAACTTTGTTGCTGCAGCAGCAAAAACTGGTAGGTGCTGAGAATCCACCCAACTCACACATTTACAAGCCCAGCACAGACCAACCATCTATGTTATTGATACCTATATTGGTTATGATCTCTGCCCCTCTCATGTGGGGGTAATCATGTATTCAGCCCACAAACACTAGCAGGAATAGACGTGTGAGTTAAGCATACCTATCAGCCTGTAACATGTAAAACTCTGCCATGTCCTGTTAGTTTCTCAAAGAAGTGGTCTTGATGGAAAACTTATCATTTAAAAAGCTGGAAAAAAAGCTTTCACAAGTATATATGATTATAAATCTCAAATGTTTAACATATATTGAACCTGAAACACCTAAGTGATGCGTTTGTGATGCTATTTTATCCACCAAGGCCAGATTTTAAGATTATGTGTCTGCACAGCTGAGAATTGCTGAGGTTGCAAAAACCAGATGTAGCAGGAAACTTCATTCTTCATTCTCTTAGAGGTGTTAAAGATATCTTTATGCCCCATGGGAGAAATGTGCAACTAAGAAGGCACATCTTCATGTCAAAAAGTGGGTTCCAGATTTTCTTTGACAAGGTTGTACAGATTTAGGTCACTAATTGGGTTGATAAAGAGATGTTGTATACAATGTGCAAAGCAATGTTTAGCTCAGCTTAAAGGCTTGATCTTGCTTCTGCTTAACTCAGCCTCACATTCATGTGCCATCAGCCAATTTCTGTTAGCTGCAATCATGGATAGGCTGCAAACTTTTTAAATAACTAGGTATTTCTAAAGACCCAAATAGTTCTGATCAGTGCACTGAGTATGTCAGCACTATGTAACTGAGATCATGAGCTTTGTAGAAACTTGGGATTGAGGGGAGGGAAAGGTGTCCCTTATGAAAATGTCTGTTCATTCCTTTTTGAAATACTCACAATGCTCATATACCTCAAGAAGGTTACTGTTCTAGCAGCCTGAACAAATAAACAGTTGAAGAGCCTGGGATCCAGAATTTCATCAGCAGTTTCCACTGGTTGCTTTGCAGTTTAATGATCCTACTAGTGAAATGGTGAAAGTCAACAAGCTGTCAAGAAACTCTACAAGTCACAGTAGAGTCACTCTGGAAAATGGACAAGTTTTGAGCTTTTCTGCTTTATCTTTTTTGGAACTAATGCCCTCCCAGCAATTTTGAAAAGGCAAAATACCCCATTAGAAAAATTTTGGCTTTTTTCTCATTGTTCAGTGAGTGACACTGTGCCCTATGTACAGTGCATTGTTCAAACTCTCAACCTAAATACTAAATAAATAACTGATTTTGGGGCATTTTTCTGTCATCCAGTGTTGTAGCTTCAGAACAACCTGCAAAATTCTTCTTTACAGCCTTCCTCTAATATGAAGATTATTTAACCCCATATTACAAACAGAAAAGTGAGGAATGGAGACCCCAAGTTGCCTAGGACCTGATTTCTAAGCACATTTGGCATTACATAAAATGTTTCTGATTCAAAGCCACATTTCTATTGATTTGTGAGTGCTCAATACTTCTGCAAGTCAGATCCAGGTGTCTTTTAATAAACACTTGAAAATTAGGAACTCAGAGCTGGTGCCTGTTTCTGAAAACTTACACCTCTTGAAGTCAGACCTGAAACAGAATTTCAAACTCTGTAAGATGAGCATCACATGAGTGGAAGGATTAAGCCACCAATGAAGGCTTAAGTGTCTCAGAATGGGATCTGAAATAGTCAGAAAAATTATAAGAAACAGTGTGAAGTCAGCACTATTCACTTGCTGCACACGTAGATCATCCAGAGCAGGTGATGGATAAGCCTTGAAAATGTGAAAACTCGAGGGAAAAAAAAATCTTAATGAGTCTCATAGAACATCCTCTCTCTCACAGAAAAACTACTGGAAGACCTGAGCCTTGAATCTCTTTGTCAAACTTCCTTTTATTAAAATTCTGTGTTACCTTTTCTTTCTGGGGACTAAATATGATTTGCCACAATGTTTTAAGATGGTTGGTACAAGACAAACACTTCCCTTCCCTCTCTGAATGATAAAGTAGGGGTTAATGTCAGGAAATAGATGCCCTAAGGTGCCTCCCAAGTCTGACCATGGGACTTATTATCTGAGGGGGAGATTAACCACCAGGCTTCTGGGTACTGCCCATATTTCACATCAAAGATGCACAATAAGAAATTATCAATATAACAATTCAGGGAAAGATGAAAATGGCATGCATGAGGGCAAGAGATTCTCTAGCCTAGTGACAGTCACCAAGTATAAGGTAGTGGACATGATCTGGAATCTACTCTTTAGATTGGCCTTTAGAGTTATCCAGCGACTACTGTGAAATACTGTCTTTGAAGACAAGGCTGGACATGAGGTCTTTGTCTTTCTGGTTGAATGGTATTTCAGGAATCTGCTCCTCTTTTGTCCCCTTCTTTTTGCTCTTCCAGCTTCTACTGGCCAGGTGCAGTTCAGCTCAGACCATACCTGCTAGCATACTACCTAGCTAGCAAGGAAGGAGGTGGATAAGCCTTTAAATACTTTTCAAAGACAGTGCTGAATATGCATGTTCTTTCTCCTGGGAGAATGCTCTAGAGGAGGAGTTACACTGTTCCCTACTCCTTAACCTCTTGAAAAGAAAGCACTTGTATTTCTAAAGAAGAAATATAGTCTTACTGATGTGCTTTAAGCGTGCTCCTCACTGGCACCAGGACAGCTCTCTCAGTCCTGTCAAAATCCAGGTGTTCTACTATGGCAATTGGATATCTGCTCCATACTTTTCCTTGAGTATCTTAAGTACTGCTATGTCATATTATAAGAAGCAACTATTATGGTATAATTCCCCAGCAGTCAGAGGCTGCATTAGAATTTTTTCCTGTTTGTAGTTGAAGCTCTGAAGTTCTATCCCAGCCCCATTTCAGGTATTTATCATGTATTTTTCTATTATGAAGGTGACCTTTTCTCAGCATCACACACATTTTTCTCAGCATCTACTTTCAGGTAGAATCAGTGGCAGAATCTTATTTCCCAGAAATCACTCAGTTACTGCAATCACGAGGCTACTTTGCCTTTTCCTGTAGCCCTACATCTGAGTCAGAATGTGTCCTCCAGCAGCAAGTAGATGAGAGCTGAACAAGGAGACAGGCATGGTCTCCCTCTAAATGGGCTGTTCATTGATTTTTTTGTGCTGAATTATTATTCTGTAATATTTACACTTAGGACTCTGAGGAATATACCACATGAAGAAGGGAGATTTTACTACATGAAAAGCATGTCAATATTAGTAAATTAAACACTGTCAGAACAAGGGCCCAGGCCATGAAACTCAATTGCTTGGGCTGTTACAGTTCTGGCACAGTTTTGTCTCACACCAACTAATGCTCCCTCAAACAGGTCTGGACCACACACAACTTCTTGTATAGTTTAGGACTTATGACAGACAAAAGACCATTCCCAAAAAGGAGTCTGGATGCAGCCATCGTGTTTCAGAGGCTGAAAAGTTATTACAGTTGTGTCAAATAAGGTAAAGATCAGGATATGACTGGTCCCAGTAAATGGATGTAGTGCAAAATTACTGCTGGTTAAAAGCATTTTCTGTCTAGACCATTAGAGAGTGTGGACATACCTGCTCTGTCTTTAGATTTATTTTTTAGATTACTGAGAGATGGATATTTCAGGGTTTTCTCCCAAATATTTAAGGAAAAGAGCTGAAAGGATCACACCTTGCTGTCCTCTGCAAACCTGCTTTCATCATCAGTAGCATTTAACCCAAAGTCTGTCTTCTTTCTGTTAACTGCTGTCCAGAAACCACCCTGTGTCTTCATATACCTCAAGTTTGTACTACCAGTTTTCCACTTGCCTTTTTTTTTTTTGTCTTTTCTTCACCATTTCTGTGCTTACATATCCAGAGTTTCCAATCCTACCTCTCACCACTGCTGGTGTTCCAGGAGGATATCCCTTTGACCCCCGCACTGCTTGACTGTCACAAGGTGAAGTGACAAAAATACAAAAAAGGTTTATTCTCACAGCTTTCAGCTACTGAACCATTGTAGCCCTGAACTGAGGTCCACTTGGTGTATCCAGGATCCTGGGCTAACAGGACTTCAATAGGGCACAATTTAGGAAGTCTCAAAGACCAATCATATTTTTGAGAAGCTGGGGAGGGAGGGGGAGGCAGGAAAAGAAAAAGTCTTAACAAGATTATTCCTTTCTTTGTGCTCACTCACCTACTCAAAGCAGAAGCTTGTGTTCCTGAATATTCCCTTATTGCCTCAGCAATTGCCTTAAACAGCTAAACTCTGTGTGTAACATCCTGCCAAAGAAAATGCAAAACTTTTCATCTTAAATGTTGATCGGACTTACAGGCAGCTCCCTAAGGAATTTGTCTCACCATGTCATTGCTGATGTTTCCGTACTGCAGCAGATCAGATTTCCTCTATGAGTAAGAGCTACAGAAAGGAACAGAAAACAGTTCTGTTAAAAAGTTTTTTAAGAATCAGTTATTAAAATAAATAAATAAATAGATAGATAGATAGAAGGAACACATTTAAAGATAATTACGAACACTGAGAAGCACTGATAACACTGTCTGTCATAGCTTTAAATATGTGGTTCACTAGCTGTAAAACAGCTTGAGCGGGACTACTCAAGATTCAAAGTATACACATCTGAAGATAAAGATAAAAGAGCACATACTTTTTGTTGGCTTGATATTTTCCCTTCTTATTTTTGCAGATGTGAATCAGGTGCAGTGTATCCCTAACTTGGTAGTAAGTAACCCTAGCTACTTCTTCATGATCATACCAGTGAGTAATTTCTGTTCTTATTTCAAGACTTAATGAGCAGTTTGGAGAGCAAGGATTTTCAATTCACCACCTTCTGAGCCTGAATTCATCATGTGGGAGTGTGAAAATGTGACAAAAACGTGTGACTCTTGACCAAATTTATAGATCCCTTGCCCCTGTCTGAACAACACTTGGACCCTCATTGGTCTCTGTGCAAAAAGGCAGAATCTCTCTGTTGGGATATCAATGAGACCTAAACCCCAGCATTTAAAAAACTGAACTGTTGCTTGAAGCATACATAGCTCACTCTCTCTCTGTGAAACACTGAAAAATAAGACTTTTGATGGAAAATTTCCATAAGGACACAAGGCTTCCAATCAAAATACATGAAAAGAAACTGGATCAAACTGACATTACGAGATTCAAAGATGTAGAAAATGAATCCTGTGGAATGTTTCTGATTGATTAGCACCTAAATTTAGACAAAAATTGGATTATATTGCCCACTTTAAATCTATTTTAAAATAACAACCCTAACTCTAAGGCTGAGTCCCTCTCAGGTTTCCTGTGTGTAAATAGCAAGCCCAGGAGAAACACCAACTTGACCTTCCCATTTGACAGCTGGCAGTAAGAATAATCAAGCCCAAACAACAATCCCAAATTTACTTATGAAGTGAGCTCATTTCATTCAGGAATTTTGAAGGCAGTAGTCAAGGGCCTAACCCCCCCATTTCCATAGTCATTTTTCATAGGAAAGCTACATGTTCAAGCTCCTTTTGCACACTATGAAGAACATGAAAACAGTGTTAATAAATATGCCTGGTAAGAAAACCATCCTTCTGTACAATTGAAGTCTTTGCAAACATTAGTTGCCAGCAGTGAAGCCCCTGATCTTCTGCTTCAAAACACCTATTTATCTGGAAACTGTGCGAATGTGAAGTAATTTTATTAGGCAGCAATACATGTGCAAAACATCAGCACATCTTTTAAATGCACTGTGACATAGTCTTGATGTGTCTTTATTTTTGAGCAGGACAGAGGAGGCTACCATAAGATAACTTCTTGAGGCTGGGTTGTGTCTTCTGGGTTTCTCCCCTCTAGCCACTTGCCCAGAATAGAGCAGTTACTGTGGGAGACCAAACTTACCATACAACTTTCTAGTACTGGGTTATTTTCAATCCTGTTACACATAACTGGTACATATAACATATGCCTCCCTCTGACAGAGAGACGAGGAGTGCACCCTCTTCCCACATCAAAGATACTGATGCTGAAACAGAGCACTGAGAGTAAACATTTTAAATCACCTAAGCTGGCGTTTTCTGTGCTTACAGTCATCAGTGAGAGCAAATTTATCCACATAGACAGATGCATCAGAGTTGAACCCAAACCCACACAGAAAGACAGTAGGTGAATACACATTTTCAATAAATGTACCTGAAGGAATGTTAAAAACTGAAGTAGAAGCAGTGGGCAAGCTGCTAGTTGGTGACAGTGGGATGCCTGGGTTCAGTTTACTCTTTGCATACAGAGCTGTTGAGCCGTGCCTATACACTAACTGGGAAATGTGACTGCAAGATGGGTAGGCACACCTCAGCCAGCTTTCCTCTAGCAAGCTGCAGCATGGGCTGCAAGTATTTAGCAGCTAAGGCCATACAGACCTGTAGGGAACAGCTAAGTGCTTGGCATCAATGTTCAAACTGAGATGACTAAGGCTGATGCAAATACTTCTACCCATGTCACAGCCTCTTCCCTAGCAGAACGGTGACATGCTCTCTAGTTATGTCTAAACTGAAATACAGCTGTTTGCAAGGGAAGACCTGGGTTTCTTGATCAGATTGTCTGCACTAGGGAGCTGTGAATACCAGGGCACAAATATGGTGTCAACTGGGATTCATCTGAGTTCCCCACCTGTAAAAGCAGTGACAAAGCTTCCAGTGGCTCATTGAGTCTGTTAAGGGTGAAATTCATCGGAGAGGTCCAAGTGCTACCATAGCAGCAATCTCACAAGTACAGTGGAAGTGATTTAGAAATGATGGATGGAAATTATGTGTCTGAATCAAACAAATGCTTTAAAAAATCCTAACTAGATTCTCCCAAACACTATGTATAAAATCCAGAAAATGTTTATACCAGACATTCAAGGAGCCAATATCCAAACACTAAAACTGATTATAAGTAAAGACTTAAAAAAACCCAAAAATGCCAAAGATCTGAGTATCCAGTGTATGACTTCAACCAGGGACCAGCACAGCACACACAATTTCACTTTCTGTATGGTGACCTAGTGACAGAACATTATTACAATAACTGCCCCACAGATGGCTATTTTATACTTGTTTCTGATCTATTAGAAAACAAAACTTCACACAAATAGTCTCTTTCCCTATCTATTAAGAGACAACAAATGCAGTATGCAAGAGTGCAGTGTTATGAGACTTCCTTCTGGTGCCTGTCTGTCTGAGTTCAGTTGTTATGCATCCAAATATCCCAAGGAAATTATATCACTTTATGATATGGTTCCACAGTCACTTCTGAGTGTATGTTTGGTTACTGCAAACCTCAGGAACAGTCTCAGGATGAATACAGTACATGACTACAATAGCTAAAGATAAAAATCGGGTTCAGATTTACAAATAAAACTGGTCCAAAATTATCTGGCGCTTTTTTTTCTGTTTTTTTTCTGCCCCAATATGGAAAAGACACGCTATGATTTTTACTACCTCCCTCACTAAAGCTAATTATGCACTTAAACCCCTTTATTTTGATAGTGGTTTGTGCAGAGTGAACTCCTTAAAACTAGTGGTAAGAGTTTTCTTTCTCTTATACTGCAGTATTGCTGTAATAATTCTGACTTCTAAATATGTGCAACATACTTTCTTAATTATCATTGCTCTATTATTAAGTCAAACAGTTCTTCCTTTATTCCTACAGCTCACAGTCATCTTGCACAAAGACACACATGTATTTCTTGGATTGCAAGGAACTTTGTTCTCCCTTCAGATGTAAATAATAGGAGGGAGAAAAAATCAGTCTTGACTGAGTCTGACTCCACTGAAAACCAATTTTGAATAAACAATGAAGAAGTGAAAAGCTGTACTCCTTACCTTGTCTGGGATGTGCAGTGCACCTTGAAAGCCTCTTAAATGACAGAGAAGAATTAGAAATAGTTGAAAGTTTGTACTCATCCAACCAGAGGGCTCAGGAAATGACTGTGTATTTTGCAACGATTAGCTCCTCCCTCACTTCTAAGTCTTCACTTTTTCAAGTACAGCAAAAAAAATCCGTCTAATGCCATGCCCTACACATGATTTCTGTTTTACACTAAGAATATGCCGGTGGCCAGAGGAGATGACCCTGATCACCTCCATGGAAGAGAAAAATTGCAGTGTCTTCTGCGTAACTGTGACCAAGTACATTTTACTGTTGAGTGATGCTTATGTAATGAAGTGTAGAAATGATTAACGGGTTTCGCTTCTAACTCTCATTTATAGAAGAGGCTTAGACCAATATTGTCAACATGATTTCAGAGTTGTGGTGCCCAATAGAGCAAGGTAAAAAAAAACCAAGGCTATTTAAAGGAGTGGCATCCCTTGCAATCTGGACAGGCATTTGATATATGGTATATGATACTTTTATACACAGTGGGTCTCTAGGTGAAAGTCAGGAGCCCTGGAGCATCAGGGTTAGGTCCTCTGTGCATAAAACCCCTTTTGTGCCTAAAAATCTGTTTCTCTTGCCTGAATGTACCTGTTCAACTAAAAGGCACTTATGACACTGATCATTATGTAAAACTGTTTACCTGAAAGATATTAAAGGCCAGTTCCTCACAAGACCACAGGCAGGAGCATAGGCTGCCTTTGGGGAGTGGGCACCAGCACACTGAACCCAAGGTGGCACCAGGGCTTCTGAGTCTATGAGAGACTTCATATTTGGGTTTTCTGAGACAGCAATGGGGCTGTCTCACCTAGCTCTGGGCATTTGCACTGCAGATGTCTACACCAGAGCTACCCATTCAAGGCACTTTTGAATGCAGGTGAGGGAGAGAAACTGACCTGTGCAAGCTTCTTTATCTGTGAGTTTTAACATCCAAGTGTTCCTTTTGCTATATAGATATATGCTTCCGTAATTTTTTTATGCAATCAAGACTCTATAAAAACTACAAACAAAATCCTTATTCTCTTGAAGTTGTTTTTTCTAGTAACCAATTCCAGTAATAATGACTCCAGAGGCATGCTCCTGCGAGACACTGATGAGAGTGGTCTGCACTTGAACTTCATCCTTTCACAGTCTACCACAAAAATAATGAGGATACTCAAGATCCTTGGTTTAAGCAGGTGCTTAGTTGCTTTTTTGGAATGAAGGCCAAAACATTGGGATGATTCCTCAAACTACAGCTATTTATGATAGAGCTTCATATGCAGAAACATCAGGGCATTTTATATTAAGCATGGTTGCAGGACAGAGGCTCAAGTTCTTGCATTGAAACCTCTCACTTCCACATAGAAAATTGAACCAACTGTCAGACTTCTTACCATGAGCTCACAGGTAAACAGGAAGGAGTTTCAGTCTCAGAGTCTCAAAGAGTGCAAAATATATTGAATCAGACCTCCTAAAAACTAATGGGATTTGGTTTGCTTCCTAATTTGTTCTTTTTTTTAACA